AGAGGCAACATTACGGTGGTGGGAAAGTGACTGAAGATCAGGACCAATAATATTGCTGATTCTTCTTTGCATTTAATCAAGGAGCTCAAGGTAAATTTCAGGGACACCAGACCATATTCACAGCAACAATTACAATATATTTGTATAGTTATCATGTAAAATTCATTTTGAATCAGAAAGTGTGGTAAATCATAAATCATAAAATTAAATCTTCTAATGGAGAGTGAAAATAATCAAAACATTTTAAGATAGAAAATTAAATTAGAATACATTTGTATATTTCTTGCAACAACTTGAAAATGGGTCACATGTTTTATTATTGTAAAAATATTGTTAAAAACAAAGTTTACTAAAAAAGCAAAAATTTTAAATTCATAAATCAAGTTACTTATTTGTACCTATGAAGTAGTTTTTGGATTTCTTTAAAGAAAAAAAATTGTCTTGTAGATGTCAGGTAACTTTATAATTAGTGATATCTCATGCTGGTGCCTTGGTCTTCAAAATAAATGCTGATTGAATTCAACTTGTTACTTAAAATCATGATTAGAGAATATTAGTCTACCATTTGTCTCTGCATTGAATATTATTGCCACATCTGTTTTGATGCTTTTACTATATATCTAGAGATTTTTCTTAACAAAATCCAAAGAACGATCTTCAATGTAACTGGTCTCAATATGACATCTCAGCTTTGATCACTTTCCCACTGCCATAGTGTATCTTCCCTGTGCCTTCTATAAATATTTTAATGGCAATTGTTTTGATAAGCTATTCTCTTTGGTTCCAACAATGAAATAGAGTAGGAAAACTTTTTTAAGTTGGTAGATCTGGCTGTCCTTAAAAATCAGACATTGAAATTTTGACTTTTTAACTGAACTCAAACAATGATGAGAAATATTTTTGAGAGTGTTAATATATCGATCCTCCTATATAGCAGTGAATGCTGGACAATCTTATCCCAGATGAAGAAGAAACTTGAGGCAAGAGAAATGTGGTTCTACAGAAGGATGCTGAGAATACCATGGAATGAACATGTGGGCAACAACAAAGTTTTGGAAATAAATGAAATCAAAAAGGACACTTTATACTGAAAAAGACAGTTGAAATTTGTAGGGCACATAATGAAGAAAGAGGGCTTGGAGAATTTGACACTCACCAGATATATTCAAACTCAGTGGAAACTGAACCAAATATATGAAGGTGTCTATTCAAATTATATGTTTACCTGGCCCAGAGATTGACCTTATCATTATATCACCAAATTGACTCCTGGCTTAATGTCTACTATAACTCAAACACTCAGTGGAAAAAAAATCAACCTGATCTCAAGTCAAGTTAAGAATGTCATATTCTTAATACTATCATATATATATATATATATATATTATGAAATGGACAAAATCCGACAATTATTTTAAGACATTTTTATGTTTATACATTTTTTAGAGATATAATTATTTAAATAAATGCTTTGTTTATAATAAACAGTATTAAACAACATTTATTGGCCTGAATGTCCAAGAAATTTTCATACAAAATATTCATCCTCTGACATGGAAGATTGTAGTTTAAAGACAGTAAAATCAACCTTGCTAACCAAACACTCGTCTGTGGCCCAATCGGTTAAAGGCACATCAAGCTATATGACAGTTCCGTATAGGATACAGGTTCGATTCCTGTCGAAGGACAAATATTTTCTCTGAAAATTTCTCAGACATTCAGGCCAGTAAATGTTGTTTAATACTTTTTATTTAATATTTGTAAAGAATGTATAAACATAAAAATGTCTTGAAATATATAAATAACTTTATACATTATTTTTAGTGTATACTCGTATTTTAGTAGATGCTTCATTTATTTATTAAACAGTATATTTATTTATTTTTGTCTACCGACCTGAATACTCAAAAAATCTTATTAAAGAAATATACTTGCCCTCCAACAGAATTCTAACATGCATCCCTCCGGGCAGAGGAAAACTGTTGTTAACTGATTCAGCCACAGAGCGGCCTTGCTTGATCAAGCAAAAAGTTTGAAACACAATACAAACATGATTACTTTTGTTATTATGTTAATAAAAGGTCAAATGTCATAATTTAGCTACACAAGAGTGAATTCAACAATTTAACATTATTGTAATAAATACCCTTTAATGTCAAAAGTAATAGAAATTTATGAATCTGTTTATTCAAATTATGTTTTCTTTAGTTATCACTGTAGATAAACTGTTTATTTTCTGTCTGCATATGAGAAATTATCACAATTATACACTGATTTATTCAAACCCATGTTCTCTTCTTGGTGATTAGTATCATAACATTTTGGTAATTGTACTTTCTGGTCTTCTAGTTGAAAACCATCTGAGGATTTTGAACCAAACTCTTTATTCAATCGGATATGCAACTTTTTGCACTACCTTGATTCAATTGAAGAGACATGATATTACAAAGACAAATTAGCTGAGTCTAGATATCCTTTGGAATGAAAAGATGAACTCTAATTATTTAACTCATATAAAAGTCCTTACTTCAACAACCACAAGTTATATTGGCAAAAGACAGACTTTTATTTCATCTGGCTCCATGCACACTCTTCCAGAATACAGTCTGAAAATACCAGATTCACAAACGTAAATCTAACTCAGCAGGTTTTAGCAATGAACCCTATGGCAGGCAAGCTTAATCAGGCCATCAGCAGTGGCACTAAGGTGCTTCCGTTGACAGAGATGCCTTCAGCCAGTGATGTAACCAGTGGCAGCAGTAGACATTAACTCTTGACTACTACAATATGATAATTTGTAGAATATTTCTCCTACTAGGTTATCTCACTCAACTCTGTGTGTTGATTTTCTTCATGTGTCTATCTCGATTACTACCTTGTGTCATAACCTAAATAAATTCTCAGTTTCCCACAAGTGATATATGATACCCTGGAATGAGCAAGATATCAAAGCTTGTAAATCACAGGAAATAAAATATCTTGCTTATCTCAACCATATCATATCTCCATTTGTTGTTTTGTCACTTCCATTTTTTTTTCTTGTTATCAGTAAAGCTGCTGTTGCAAACTGAATAAAGCCTTTGGTTTTAAATTTCCAGAAGACTACATCAGAAATCTGGAAAAGGAATGTATTTATAAGTTTTTTTATATCTATGCAGGAGAAATAAACATTCATGAAAATTCATGCTTGACTTCAAATACTCTTAATTCACTGGAACAAGAAATGCAATATTTATGATCAGAATGACATCAGGGCAAGTAATGCAAATACAGAAGGATATATACCTATATTTCATAAACTATGCAAAAGTATTTGCTAAGGTATCACACAAAGACCTATCTGAACTGCTCAGAGAATATTATTTATTTGGAAAGGATATTAGAATAATCCAAAGCATTTACTGCCTGTATACAAATAGAAAATGAATTGATCAAATGCATAAATGTAGAAAATGACATAAAAAAAATATGCATCTTCTCACTAGATTTACTAAATCTTTACTACGAGGTGTGAAATTAAGGGAACTAGAAATCCTACTATTATTGGTAAAAGCAAACTTAACAACATAATCTACACAGATGACACAGTGTTGATGTTAGATTGAGAAAGAAAACTGCATAATTCCCTAGACAAATTAGTAATGGAAAGTGGAAAGAAAGAATTAATCATCAATTGGAAGCAAGAGAAACAACCTAAAATGCAAGCTATGAATTGAAAATATCAAAATCAAGCAAGTACAAAAAATTATCTGGGAATTGTTTTAACCGATGATGAAAACTGTGACAAAGAAATCTGAAAGAGCATTGGAACAGTAAAAGATGCCTTTCAAAAGTGAAACAAAGTATTAAGAAACAAGAAAATTTCATTAGTAACAAAAAACAAGTGCTAAACTACTATGCATTATCAGTCTCCCTATATGGCAGTGAATGTTGAACAATTTACAGACAGATGAAGGTGTGGTTCTACAGAAGGATGCTGAGAATCCCATGGATGGAGTATACGAGCAACAAAGAAGTTTTAGGGAAAATGGAAACAAAAAAGGACACATACCCAGTACCAGAGAGGGACAGCTGAAATTTCTGATATACATAATGAGGAAAAAGGGCTTGGAGAATTTGACACTCACAAAACATAATGAAAATGAGGGCCAAAGGCAAGCAGTGAACAACCTACCAAATAGCTTATGAATTGAACAGCAGAACATGAGCTTGGATAGATAGGAGACAAACATTGCTTAGAGCTACAAAGGATAAGAAATTGTAGAGAGCCATAATCACCCACGTATTGAAGAGACAAGTCTCATAAAAGAATATACTCTAAATTAAATTTGTCAATATAAAATAAATTAGATTCTAATTTTATAAAAATAATTTAAAAAATTTTGATAGATATTTAACTTGAGCTACTGAAATAAAATTATAAAAATTAACTAAAATAAAGTACTTAAGTAAAAATATTTAAAAAATATATATAGGTTTTGTTAAAAATAAAACATTCTAAACAAAGTTATTTTTTAATTTTAATGAGTGGACATTATTTTCTGTAAATAAATTCTGTGTATGCTGTATTAATCAGATTTTAAATACCATTGAATTTTTAATATCCAATAAACTCAAAAATAAAATTAAGAAAGGAAAATGGAATCGAAAAAAACAGTTTGACCCCGACGTGATTCGAACACGCAGCCTTCTGATCTGGAGTCAGACGCGCTACCGTTGCGCCACGAGGCCTCCTAACCAAATAGGGCAGTTTAAAACTATATGAATATTAAAATATACTACTTTTATTTTCGTACTTTTTACTTTCTCTTTTTCTTTAAATAAAACTCCAAAATTTTTATCACTTATTTGTTATTACTTTTAAATATAAAAATATGAAAGATTTTCAAATCCACAGTTTTTCACTTAAGATTAATTCAAATTTTGGAAAAAACAAAAAGTCGATAAGCAAATATATAATTTACGAAACTCAGAATCTAGCTTTTCCATCGTGATTCAATATGGAGACTCTGTTAGAACAGCAACGTCGGTATCATGAAGAAAGAGAAAGGTTGATGGATGCGATGGTTAAGGAGATGCTCCTACCAAAAAAAACGGTGCGTTAAGTATAATTATATTCTATCCTATCCTATTTATTGTACGAGTGACCGGTGATTTTAATTATTGTTCTGTTTAGACATCACATTTCTTTCTATTCAATTCCATCCTCGTTAATCAACAAAACTTGTTTATTTTTTGTTAAAAAAAAGATTAAGAAATAATAATTAAGCCAGTGAATTTTCTCCTACCATAATTTAACTTTTCGTACATAATGTAGACAAAGTTTTTGAGTTGCCGAAACAGAACAAAGATAACTTTTCTTCAGATTTTGTAATCAATGTACAAAAAAAAAAAAAAAAAAAAAAAGACGCGTGTTTGAATAACAAGAAGACTAAGAGCAACTGATATTGAGATTTAAATTAACAATTATGGCACAAGTCCGAAAAGTGGGAATGGGTTGAGGCTGGTCTTCACTATCTTATCGGATTCACGACCCATTCACTCGTTACAATTTCCTCATTCACCATAAAAACTCATCCGTCGTCAATCAATCCTCCATACACCATAATACCACATCCTCCCAGGGTGGGGTTGGGGGACTAAAAAAAAAAAAAAAAGCAAATGATATTTGAATTTGATAGCTATTGTTTTACTTTTAGCAGAAGTATTAAATGTTAAATATTCTTCGTTTCATGGTATCTTTTCTCCTCGTGCTATTTTTTTTCTAACAAATCGAAGAATAAAACTAAAAGTGTTTTACTTACCGTTTATGATTACTAAATCAAAGTGAATTTAGTTTTTAAATTGATCAGACTAAATTGCTTCCCACTCCTCAAAGTTTTGATAGCATCAGACAGAAACAGACTATTTCATGTTAATAGTTATATAATTTTCTTGATAATCCAATATTTTATTGTCTCTGCGTTGAAAATAGAAAATGTACCGTGTTTTCGATCACGAAAATAAACAACATTTTGCCGCCTATTTATTTCGATTTATTTACTGTATTTAGAAAAGGCAATGAACACCGGCCGTAACTTACCTGTTGGTGGTAGTTTTTATCTCTCTTTTTTTTTTAATTAATAAATAAATATTTAAAATAAATGTATATCCTGTGACAGGTATATCGTCTGACAGTAAAAGCATAACTTGTTTGATTCAATTCATATAACGTTACCTCAAATCACTATCAAAGTTACTTCCAAAAAAAAAAATATTCATAGTGATATGAGATAATAATGCATTAAAAAGTAGTTACTTTTTTCTTTTCTTTTTTTTTTAATCAATTCACCCCAATCAAGGCAATAATGCCACTAAGACGCAAGGAGCTACTACTGGGAGTGAAAGAGAATGAGAAGATTTAAAGAACCGGAAACCCAATTCTAAACAGGAGACAAGGGATAAACCTCTACTCCTGTTCAAAAGATCAGAGAGGAGTGTGATCTGGATAATAGATGAACCTATCAACTACTATTGATGGTTAAAAAAAAATTTCAGAGTTTAGGCGAAGATGTTAGATTGAAACCCAATCCTCAACAGGAAACAGGGTATAAACCTCTACTAGTGTTCAAAGGACTGGAGAGGTGTGTCAACTAGATAGTAGGTAAACTTATCAATTATTGAAATTAGTTTAATATTATATTTTCTTTTGCCATATTGGTCATTATGTTTTGAGCTGGAAAAGGCCAAGAATAATAGTTGCTGCAGATCACTTAAGGCAACAAAAAATATCTGGAATGTGGTACAGACTACAATGTAGTGTTGCCCTCCTGAAGCATATGCAGGGACATATCTATGCATGTCATGGCACTGCAAGAACCCCCAATATTGTGTGATTAGTGATCAGAGAAGCCTCGCTAAATGTTAATCAGGGAGTTTGGGCTCCTTACTACCAATTGGGATACATATAACAAGATAATGGTAAAATAAAATAAGATGAAATTAAGAATAATGAGAGGTCAGTGGGGTTCCAGATATATATTGTTATGGAGGTTTGGAATCTGTTTGTGCATTATTAGCTATTAAAGTTTTAACTTAGTATAAGTTATAATAATTGCTATCAACTAAAAATCAAGCAGAAAATTAATTTACTTATCCCAACAGATTTTTCCTTCACTTATTTAAGGTAGGTACGCAAAAGAAACTCTTTATCAGATTTGTCAGTCATCGAAATGACCAGTAAGTTTGTGAATATGATAAATGCAGCTATCTGTGGACAAATTTTTAAATGAATCAATAATTACAAAATACAACTTAAGTACAACTGTGACAAATTAACTTGGAAGGGATAATAAACTAAAATTAGAAAACTCAAAAAGAGAGGAGGAAATGCATCTAGACAACAAACATTTTAAATTAGTGATTTCAAAAGTTAAGAAAACATGGAACTTGCATGTCAAGATATGTTCAGAGCAAAATATAGTTGTTAAGGCTTTTGGTTGATTTGGTGTCACTTAAAGAGGTGGTGGTTGAGGAGTCTCTTAGATGTTTTATAATTAGAATAAACCTCCTATTTTCCTACTGCAGTGGGGTTGCAGGAAGGGGGTCAGTCAGATAAAGAAATATATGCTTATCAATTTAAATTTACAACCAAATTGAAGACAAATATTTTTTTTCTCTCTTTGGGTGTCTCAAGATTTGCTGAAAAGTGAATATACATGTTAAAAAAATGCCCAAAATTTAATAAAAACAAATTTTTATTGTCAAAAGCCCAAAAGATTTTTGTTTTAATCTTAATCTTTTTTATAACTTTCAAAATTTTTATTAAGTCTTTTTCTGGCATCAATGTAGGATTTTAATGAAACTTTCAGGGCTTATTCACAAGTGAATGAAATTATTTTTTAAAATTTTTCTTTTTTAAAAAAATTTGGTAAAAAACATTGTGTCCAACATACACACTGTTAATGTTATGAAACTGAGAAATTCTTTTTCTAATGCTTAATGTTTATATTAGTTTTAAGTACACTTAAGACTATTTACTAATCATAAATGGAAAAATTTACTACAATTCACACACCTGTAGTATTTTAAAAATAATTTTTTTTCATATAAACATGTCCATACATAATATTATCAGGAAATAAAAGCAATAACTATAGTAAATTTAAAATTTATTGGTAATTTTCTAACATTTCTTCAGCAAGCATCTTTTTAAGTACGTAAAATTCAATAAAATATTAGAATGCTAAAAATATTTAAGATTACTGGGTAGTTAAAAAAAATTATATCAAAAAAGATGTTTACATTGATTAAAAGTTAGCACCTCATAAAAGCATCTGTCTTTGATAAAAAAACGATTTTTGAGATATTTTAAACTAAAAGTAATATTTGTTTCAATTTAGATTAATTAAACTTTAAATTGGCTAATTTTTCTCAAATAAATTTATATTTTTTGAAAGATTTTTTTAATAAAGAAAATTATGTTGTTGACAGATTTATCAATATGAATGATTTTACAGATTTTATGATAATTGGAAAAAAAAATAATTCCAAGCAATTTAAATTCAGTTTGAAATACAGTAAAATATTTTATTAATTGGAAATATTACATTTAAACTATTAGTTTGGAATTGAAAGTAAAATAAAAACTTTTCATTTTTTTTTTTTTAAATGCATTTAAAACCTTAGGTAATTTTTCTTTTTCTTTTTTTTTTATTTTGGGGTACCAACATTAAAACAAAAAATTTGTTAATTGTAAATAAAGTACTAATTTTGAAAATAATTGACATTCTTTTTCCTTTTTAGAATTGAACGTTTCTGTCTGAAGAGTGCAATTTACTGGATTTTAGTATTGGAAAGAATTTGTAAATGATAAAACAAACCTGTTTTTTTTTTTTGTTTTTCATTTTCATTAAAACACAAGATGTTTATATTTCCAATTGATTGTAAAAATGTTATGAATGGTATAAAATAAATTTTAGAAAAGTATACATCATTTCATAATAAATGCAAAAAGTTTAATTACCTGTTTTTCTTTTCAGCCCCGAGAACAAATCAATTCAGATCAGCGATTGAAGCTCCTGCTTGATCGTTCTGTTGAATGTACAAATGAATTGAAGGATTTGTATGAAGATAAAGATGGGTAAGAAAAATTCCTCCCTGACATTTTTTTTTTTTTTTTCTTTTTAGATTTTCACAAATTTGCCATGTTAAAATTTATTAAATATAAATTTCTCCAGTATTAAATTAATGATGTTAAATAGAAAAAATATCTTGAATTTCTTTATGAAATTATAAAAAAGAACTCTTGGCTTTAAATTGCTGAGTATCAAATTCACATGACCATGTTGACCTTTTTAGCTATTTGTAAAATAATTTGTATTTGAGTTTATTGAGAAAAGTGATTTTCATATCAGATGAAAATTTTAATAAGTGACAAATGCCAATTTCTATTGAAAAATTTTACTCTCTCGTAAAATAGAATTTCCTTTTATAAACAATTGAAGCAGCCATGAAGTAAAGTTCAAAGGATTTATAAGTAGAATTTTTGGATGACCGGTGAAAACAAATTATTTTCTGCCTTAAAATCTTTCAAAACAAATTCAACATTGAATATTAGTTGGATTACACTGTAAGCCTAATATGAATTAATGTAGGTTGCAGATGTAAAATAACTAAATAATTGACTTTTTTAAACAAGTAATTCCAATTTGGTAATTTAGCTTGATTTACCAATTTATAAAGGGTCAATATGAGACTTTTCCTTTCTTTATTTGCTAGTGAATGTATACATATGCTTCATAAATCCAGTAGAAACAGTCTTTTAATAATTGAATCATATCTGCTATGGTTATTGCTCACAGTAAATTGTAATGATAGGAAACACTTCAACTTGCTTGAGACAAGCTTCAGTTATTGTTCCTTATTAGTTTTCTCTGTTGCCTTTTGTTAAATGTTCATAAATTTGAATCTGTCTTGTGCCTAGGTTAAGAAAGGAAGAAGTAGCTGCTCTTTCTGGGCCAAATGAATTTGTGGAATTTTATGCTCGACTCAAAACAATAAAAGACTTTCACAGAAAACATCCTGGAGAGGTTAGTATATATTGGCTACTTTTTTTTTTCTTTAAGGAATCATTTTCATTTTTATACAAACAAAAAATGATTTATCCAGGAATTTTTTTTGCCTTAGAAAAATCCAACACAATTTGAACAAGTGATTTAAACTAAGTAGGTACTGTCTTAAACTTTCAAAAACAAGATGACTTGAGAAAATAAGTGCCCAAAATTTGTAACATTAATTTTATAATAAGCTTTGTGCCATTTGGAAAAAATAACTGGAGAGAAAATTCTAAAACTATCCAGTGTACAGAATTGTAGACTTTTTGTATTTGAAGAATTATTTCAAATTTGAAATATTTACCTGTAAAAGAAACATAGTGGAAACTACACTTAAAAAAATCTGTCAAAAATCAAATAATTATCAAATTTCATGAAAATTACTCTTTGAAATTTTCCTTATAAAATTCCCTTTTCATAAACAAATTCATTCATGAATGCATAAGTACTGAACATTTCATTGAAATCTGATAATTGCTTAATTTTTGGTAGATTTTTAAAATCAAGTTGAAGTTTGCCAACAAAAAAAATTCTACAGATATACAATGTAAACAACTCTTCAGACAAAAGTCTAAGTTTCTGTTCATTGGACACAATTTTTGTATCAGAATTTTCTCCATTCAATCTTCTTTTGAATGGCACAAATATGATGAAATTAACATATCAAGTTTCAGGTATTTTCACTTTTTTAATGGAATTTGTTTTATAACTTAAATAACAAATAAAAAAAAATATACCATTGTGCCACTTAAATATTCACTTTGTTAAATAATGTTGTCTGTTTTCCACTTCATTTTTCATTAAATTTAACTATAACTTTATTCTTAACCTTAATACTATCCTTAATATCCTTTGTTTGAAGATGATGGCTTAACTCAATAGGAAAGATCTACTTGAAAGATATTCTCTGCATATGACTCACCTATTCATGATGAAAACTATTTTGACTTAACATGTGAAGAATGATATGGCCTTTTTTAAAAACATTCAAGTATTTTTTTTAAATTGGTATAAAAATGTTTAGATAGAATTTTAAAGTAAAATGATTTTATTTTGATAAAAAAAAGAAAAATTCTACTTTGATGAAAATGTCTGAAATTAGCAATTAAAATATGATTCATTGCCACCTTAAATGTTTTGTTACCTTTGTATCTAATGACTTTGTGAGACTATTTACTCTTTTCTTCTTTCAGATCAATGTGCCTATGTCTGTAGAGTTTGAAGAGCTGGCAAAATTCCGTGAAAATCCTTCAGAAGAGACTCAGGGTTTGTATGCTTCTTGGATTTTCATATTTTGTACATTAATGATCAAGTTTGTGTTTATTGATTTGCCTACATTGATGCCAGTGAACTTCCTTGTCTCTAATGTTGTAATAGTACAGTTTTTTTTTTATGAGTAGTAGGAAGTTATCTTACTACTCATAGATCCATTATTGATTTTATTAAAGTGTGCAGAATAGAATTACGGTCAAAATAACTCAAATACATACTTTTGATAAGAATTTTTATCATTACAAAGGTTTTATGAACACTTTGTTGTTATAATGTTGTGGCATTATTACTACTGCATTTGCTCTACTACTGTTCCCCTCCCCACCTTTCAATAAACTGTACACCTGAAGGTAGCCATAAATCTTCTGTGACATTGTGGAACAACAAAAAGAATGAGTTCAATAATCCAAACAATATTTGGAAGAAAGTGTTTTTAGAGTATAAAAAATTAGAATATTTTTTTATTTATCAACATTATAAATTTGTGGCACAATTTAATGCAATAAATAATATTAAATATATATGTATTATAATTATTAAAATGAATTTGTTTCATATTCTTACAAATGTGTATCATGGAATTTTCACTTGTGATACAATTTTTAACTTTTAAAATGCAAGCCTAATACATACCATATTCATTTCCTATTTAAATGCTGTTCATATATTTATAAATTTTGGGGAAGTGTATATTGCAATAATTTGTGAATATCTATGTTGATGGTATATGAGTGCACCTCCAAAACTAGATGACCAGAGCTTGGCATCTGATTTCTCCTCTGACCTAGCTTTAACTGCTCACTGGCTGGTCACATTCAGTGCCTCAAAAACCAAACTAATAACATTCCATCATCTAGTGGACTCAGAACTTCTACCTATTACAATGAATGGATGTTCTGTCAAGGAGGCCTCGTGCTTTAAGCACTTATTGTGACTTAAACTCAGACCTTAAATGAAACTCCTACATATCATTTAACATCCATTGTTAAAGATGCAGGAAAGTATGATTGGTTCCCTGTTTTGCCCCATTAAGTACTTTACTCCTGCTGTCTATCTTTATAAGAGGCCAGATTAGTCTAAAAATTAAGTACACTAGCCATCTTGGCAGGAGCTGTCCAATCTTTACTTTCCAGTCTTGATAGAGTCCTAAAGTGTCTCTGCATCCTTGTGGGTGATGAATTATTTTCCACCCTACAACCCCTTTCTCACAGAGGAAATGTTGCAAAATTCTTGCTACTCTGTCATTAATACGATGGAAAGTGTTCAGATGAACTACATTCCTTAGTTTCACTAGTTCTAATCTTCACAACTAAGATCCACCATATCACACACATTGTAAGTTCCACCTGAGCAGCTTCTTCCCATAAACCACTGATTTGTGGAACTGACTCCCAAGAGGATGCATCTCTGATCACTACAATCTTAACCTGTTCAAGTTTAGGGTTAACAGTTATTTTCCCAACATTTCCCCATAAAACTCTGCTTCTTACTCTGTAACCCTCTACCTTGAGTGGCTTATACAGAGTGAACTTTATTGTAGGAAAAAAAAAAGTCTAACTTGATTCCTTTTGTTTAGACATGGCGGAATTCACAGATGAAGAGGGCTACGGCAAATATTTGGATCTTCATGAATGCTATGAGAAGTTCATAAATTTGAAGGGAATAGATGTAAGCAACACATTTTTTTTTTCAAACTTAAATTCACAACTTAAATATAAAAGTTTAAAATTTCAGCATCCTTCCCTTTTGTGTACATATGTAGTTACATCTCTGTTTAACATCACTTAAGTTTTAAATGACAATCTGTCATGCAAAAAACTTTCATCTTTGTCATTAATTTTCCTAATATTTTTCTTTATAATTCTATCTCTAACATATAATGTTAGTGATTGGGGAATTAAACAAATGATCAAAATGATTGTAATTTTAAATTAAATGTTTTTTTTTTTTTTTCCACTCTCCTTTTGCTCTTTAGTCTTTCACCTTGTAGCTTGGCCAGGTGAAACTCAGGTGTGCACATACACATCTGCTTTCTTTAATAATTCTGAAAATTCTCACATGTGGAAAAGTTGTATGAATTATGTTTTTTCTCTTTATTTATATAGTAATTCAACTTGGTATGCCTTCTGTAGAGTGATGATTAGTATGTTCATCTTGCTGGACCATTGCTACTAGTGAAATGAATTCAAACTACTGTAGAGTAAGCCTAGTAAATATTGGCACTTTGCTTTGTATTGATCACTGATTTTAAAGCTAATTCACTTGCTTTCTTTATAAAAGTTATTTTTTTAAATGAAAATTCTAAAAGATACAAACATTAGAATTGGTCAAATTCAAACTACACAAATATATTTTGATAGAAATTCACATTAGATTGCTTAACATTATTGAAATGATTTTCTAAAAATAATTTTTTTTTTAACAAAAACATTTGACTTTAAAAATCTGTGATTAAAAATGCTTCAGTTATCAGAAACACTAAAAAAATTTTCATTGGGGAAATAATTACAAAATAACTGACCACATGAAAACATTAAAATTAAATATGCAGTCAAGTAAATTTTACAAGTAGATGACCTTGTGCAAGTTATGTCTGCTGGCTAACAAGAAAAATTAGTTTAAAAGAAAAAAAAAGGACTCATTTACTAAAACTGCATGACTGTGTCTAAATGAGTTGAGTGAATATTTTCTTGAAAGTAAATGATACAAGATATGAATCCCATTTATTTGATAGCAAAGCACAAAGTTGCCAAGAAGAAAAACTTATTCCTGAAGTAAACTAAAATTAAAATTTAATTTTCTATTTCTATTGATACTTCTTAAGAGTTCTCTTGTTTAATTAAAATAAAAGTTGTGTTTCAAAAGTATTCAGGGAAAATAATAAAGAATTATAAAACATTTTACTTTTTCTGCTCCTCCATACAGAATGAAACTCTTTCAAGTTCAGTTAAAGAAACTTTGTAAAGGCATACATATGGATACAATGTAGTAGAGATTTGTAGGGTAAAAAAAAAACATTTTGATGTTTCTGTTCCTCAAATAGGAAAAGTTCAATCTTATTGATTGAGCTACAGTAACTTTTACTATTAAAACATTTTAGCAATAAAGCATTAATATAAAACATCAAATTCTTCTTTTTTTTATACTGAATTTTGTTTGTTAACCAAAATTAAGAAAAACAAAAATGAAAGGTCTTTGTATATTATAATTACATCTGCATAAATATGTATCTCTGGATATTTTGGTTTTGTTTATTTCACAAATGTATTTTTCTTATTTTCAGTTTCAGTACATATTTTCCTCATTTCTGGTTGACATTTCAAATGAAATTTTAGTCGTTTTTAGTTCTCCAGGGATATATATTTGAAGTTGATATTTGAAAATATTCAGAAGAATTTCATAAAATTAAATAAAGAGGATTTTATTGACTTAAATGTTCCACACACATTTCTCACAAAATATCTTTTTCCTAAACAAATTAATTCACAAGTGAATATGCTCCAGAATTTCATTGAAATTTGGTAATTAACTGATATTCATTAGATTTTTCAGAAAATTTTTTTCCTCCCATGCAAATTACAAGAGGGTTTTGAAAAGGTTTTCATCTAAGAATCCTTTTCAAACAAGATTCTGATATCAGATTTTGGAAAATGGATCTGGTCAAGAACTGTTTTCAACATCCTCTTGTCTCTTATGTCAGTTGTGGCACATTGTTATACCTTTTTATATAGTTTAAACAACTTTTCAAATACAAATATCTCCTGTTTGTATTCTATACCCTGCATTCAATTTTTATACAAGAATTTTCTTTAGTCTTTCTTACTAATGGTTTACAGTGTGATGATAAATTAACTTTTATACATATTTTGAGCTTTTTTGGGGGTTTTTTGTCATACATTACTTTATTTGTTAAGAGTACAACTTTTACTCTTCCTTTGACATTGTTAAATTTGATTATCTTTCATTGCTTTCTCTTCTTCAGAAAATAGACTACATATCTTACCTGTCAACATTTGACCAGTTTTTTGATATTCCTAAAGAAAAGAAAGGGGCAGCCTATAGAGAGTAAGTTAAATATGTTCACTTTTTATATTAAAGGGGTTTTAAAGTTTAAAAATTTTTATGATGAAAATATGTAGATGAGATGGTTTCATATTTTTAGTATTATTCTCAGTTGCTAACACATTACAATATTTAGAATTATTGACATAATCTTGCATACCATAACATAATTCATTCATGATTTGGAGTTTTTTAAAAAGCGTATTTTGTAAAGTCACATAGCTACCCTGTATATTTGTGCTCTTGGAAAATCGATTTCTTTCAGAGTTAGAATTTATATTCAGACAAAATCTTATCATAGTAATTTGATAACAACTTTCTGTTCATGAATTATTTCAACTTGTTAATTAGATTCTATGCCCCAAATATTGTTTTAAAACATCAAACAATATTATCCTATGAAGTAATTGTTTCTGTTTACATGAATTTATATATAAAATAGAAAGTCAACTAAAAACTTTGAAAGTTTATTATTGTTATTATTAAAATCTCTTGCAGTTATTTGCTGTGCCTGTTAGAATATGTGGAATCTTACACCTATAAAGTGAAGCCTCTTTTTGATGTCAGTGAGGTTAGTCCATTTTATTGTACTTTGTCTTTTGCATCAAGTTTTGGAAAGAATAGTAACAAACAAACAATAGTCTTAAAAAAAACAAATAAGTAAAAATGTCATGAAACATGAATGGCATGTGTTTTATTTTATTTTTATTATAAAATATTTTACTTGTTTTTCACTTAACTAATCAATTTTTATAAAAAAAAAAAAAAGTGAATCTACTTTGATAAATGATTTACTATCTAAAATAACCCCATCATCTCGCTCAATCTTACTGATATATTAAGTGAGAATTCAACTCTGAATATTTTTTTCTATTTGTTAGCAAATGGTAACCAAAAAAAAAATGCTCAATGCAAATAAGATGAAAAGCTCCCATGATACGCACTTATATTTTCCTTCAGTTAAAGTGTAGTATCTACCAAATGTATTTGGATATTCAGTTGTAATAAAGTAAAATTAAGATTAGAAAATAATTCCTAAATACTGAGAAATAAAACTTTTGATATTTTAATTATAGCTAATGGCAACAAAAAAGTGATTTTGTCTTAAATTAACAATGAGGCTTCTGCCATTTTAGAGGCCTTGATAAAGAATGCAGTGGATGGAGATGTAATGTTTGTGGATAATACAGTATGCTCAATATTAAAATCTCAGATATCAAAATGGACTTCAGTGGAGAAAAATCAGATGATCAGTAAAATTCTACAGCACTTATTTTGATGGCATAGATATACATCCTGGGCTTGGAAGAAGTCACTCTGGATGTGCATGCATGTGCCAAGAGCTAAAAATGTTCACCATGCTACATAACCAATTTTTTTAATAGTAATATTTGTATTCATTGTAAATGAAAATATCTACACGAATAATAACCTAAAATTCACTGCTGCAAGAAAAAAAAAATCAGTTATGGTTAGTCTTTTGAATACAATATTTCTAGTTATTAAAAATGATCAAAAACTTAAGTTGTAGTCATTGTATGTCCGTGTAACTGAATGGTTAAGTTTTAATAACATTGTTGAACTTTCTTCATAACAATTTTATTTTTTGCTTTTTAAATATTTTATTTACTACCATCTTGTATTTTGTTTTGATTTTTAGGAAATGGAAAATGTCATGAAGGATTTTGAATGGCACTGGGGTGAAGGTACTTTCCCTGGCTGGCCAGTAAGTGACTTTGTTTTTTTCTTGCTAGTGGGAGATCCTTTGATATCAAAAACAAATGTCTATTAATTTATAGCCTTTTCTTCCATGTGACATGTCTCTTCAGGACATTGATGATCATGCCTGTCCACAACTTCCTGTCCTTTGTAACTTTGTAAATTTTGTCTTTGTTATCTCTTCTAAACCCCATTTTGTCATCTATTTACACAAGCTTGTTAGGTTATGCACTATTTTTCTCTGTCCCTCTTGCCTTGAATATGTTCTTTGAATATCAAATTTTCCAATCCCTCTTCATTATGTGCTCTAGAAATTTCAACTCCTTCTGATAAGTGTGTCCTTCTGCATTCATTTTCTCTAAAACTTTCTTGTTGCTCACATTTCTGTTGCTTAAAGTCTCATCTTCATCTGTGAGGAGATTGTCCGGCATTCACTTCCATAGAGGACTGATATTACGTTAGAGTTCAGTACTCTTTTCTTTGTTTCTAACAAAATCTTCATGTTTCTTAATACTTTGCTTAGCTTTTGGAAGGCGGCTTTTGCTATTCTAATGCACCTCCAAATTTTGGTGTCACACTGTTAAAATGCTTCCCAAATATTTAAATTAATGTACCGAGTTATTTGAAAAGCAATTTTGTCTTTTCTTTTATTAGGCAGACTGAAAACTCCAGTTTAGAAAGTGATAAAGACCTACATTATAAGATTTACATTATTATAAAACATGATAAAGAAAAATTTTAAAATCCTATGATTTTTAAGTCTAAAAATTTCTTTTGTCAATTATAGGCATTTTTTCATCATATTTCATGATATTGTAAATAAACACTTTTTCAAACTTACACTCATGTTTTTCTTCGTAGAAAGAAACAACTGGTGCTCTGACCCATGCAGGTGCTCATTTAGATCTGTCTGCTTTCTCCTCGTGGGAGGTAAGTTTTTCTTTTCTTTTCTTTTTTTTCATTCTTTTCTTTTCTTTTTCTTTTTTTTTCATTCTTTTCTTTTTCTTTTTTTTCATTCTTTTCTTTTCTTTTTCTTTTTTTTCATTCTTTTCTTTTCTTTTTCTTTTTTTTCATTCTTTTCTTTTTCTTTTTTCTCTTTTTTCATTCTTTTTCTTTTTTCTCTTTTTTCATTCTTTTTCTTTTTTCTCTTTTTTCATTCTTTTTCTTTTTTCTCTTTTTTCATTCTTTTTCTTTTTCTCTTTTTTCATTCTTTTTCTTTTTCTCATTCTTTTTTCTTTTTTCATTCTTTTCTTTTTTTTCATTTTCTCTTTTTTCATTTTCTTTTTCTTTTTTTCATTCTTTTTTCTTTTTTCATTTTCTTTTTTTCATTCTTTACTTTTTCTCTTTTTTCATTCTTTTCTTTTTCTCTTTTTCATTCTTTTTTCTTTTTCATTCTTTTTTTCATTCTTTTCTTTTTTCTTTTTTCATTCTTTTTCTTTTTCATTCTTTTTTCATTCTTTTCTTTTTTCTCTTTTTTCATTTACTTTTTTCTTTTTCATTTTCTTTTTTCTCTTTTCATTCTTTTCTTTTTTCATTCTTTTCATTCTTTTTTTCATTCTTTTCTTTTTCATTCTTTTCTTTTTTCATTCTTTTTTCTTTTTCATTTTTCTTTTTTCATTTTCTTTTTTTTTCATTTTCTTTTTTCTCTTTTCATTCTTTTCATTTTTTTTTTTTCATTCTTTTTTCTTTTTCTTTTTTCATTCTTTTTTCATTCTTTTTTCTCTTTTTTCATTTTCTCTTTTTTCATTTTCTCTTTTTTCATTTTCTCTTTTTTCATTTTCTTTTTTTTCATTTTCTTTTTTTTCATTCTTTCTTTTCTTTTTTCTATTTTCTTGTCTTTTTCTCTTTTTTTCATTCTTTTCTTTTTTCTCTTTTTTCATTCTTTTCTTTTTCTTTTCTCCATTTCTCTTTTTCTTGTTGAAAAACCATTTAATATCTATGAAGACACTTCTTATCACATTGTGTACAAAACTTCTGTGAAGTTACTAGACTTGAAAATTTTGAAAACCCGACTTTTTAAAAAAAATTTTTTCATGCTCTCTTTATTTGGCATTATCAAGTCCAACAAAAATTCAAGCTGACTGTACAAAGAAACTGTCCTGTTTCATACTTTCCAAAATCTAAAACTGCTTTTTTATTTCAAGCAATTTAATTCTTGCTGCTTTTATTTGGCTTAATAGTGTAGTATGTTGAAAATTTAAAATGTATTCATTCAATAAAATTTGTACAATGGATTTCTCTGCAATGTAATTGATAACAGTAATTAGTATATAAAAGAATTTTAGCTTAAAGTTCAAGATTTCTGTAAAAATGAAGTTTAGAAAATGATTTTGTTGTAAAATTTGTTGATCTGTTTATTTATACTTTCAGGAATTGGCTTCTTTGGGACTGGATCGTTTGAAGTCAGCTTTGATGGCTCTTGGGCTAAAATGTGGAGGGTGAGAATTTTCATTTAGAATGAGTTAAAAATTGATAAAGTTCCTAAAGTTATATATTTGTGTGAATTAATCAGATTGCATAAATGACTAATTGATAAGCATTTAATGAATAAATTCTCATACTTCATTAAAGAAAATGTTTTTAAAATGTTAACATGTGTGCACATGTATGAGGTGAGGTGCTGAATTGATTCTAATATTTGGCCTTTATATATATATAAAAATATTTTATCGTTGAATTTGCGGGTTTTTTTTTTTTCTTTTGGACTTGTATTCAAAACCCAGACAAAGGCAATCCACCACTCATGAGGCACTCTGGCCAATCACTGACCATTCTGGCCTTGGCGTTTGCATTCTGTAACACAATTTATTAATTTGATGCAACTGTTCTTTTTTTTTTTTATTCTGCAACCTTTCTTCAAGCAGAATATGAATTGGAAAGAAAGAAAGGCCCCCAGGGATGGAGGATGCCAATTTAAATTAAAATCTTTCTCTCAAAACAGCTTTTCAGGAAAATAGGTTTCTCAAGATTTTATTAATTTGAATCAAGAACAAGACTAACTATTTGGTCAATGCCAAAATAAGAAAATGGTTAATCTCACCATTGTCATTAATTTTATAACTAGTTTTCTCATTTCTTACATCACACCAATTGTAAAATGTTGAACAGTCTATGCATTGTAGTAATTAAAATAAAACAAGATGAAAAGAAAAATTCTACAAATAATGACAGTGCTTCTTTATGTAAGAATTTTGATTTGTTCTATCCTGAGCTTTGCAATGTTTATTTCCAGAACTCTTGAAGAGAGAGCTCAACGGCTTTTCAGCACAAAAGGTTTACAAATGGAAGATCTGGATCCTTCGATGTTTGCAAAATCCAAACCAGGAAAAACTGGCAAAAACAAGTAAGATAACGAAATGACTTTTGTGATCTTTGTTGATCAAGCCTAATACTCTAGTTGCAGAAAAGAATAATTGCTTTTTGTTAATGAATTGGTTGTATTTTAATGGTTTGTAAGATCCTCTATTTTTAGGAATATTTATTTAACTCTCCTATATTATTAATGAATGAGTGTATTATTGGGGTTTCTGTTTTTAAGTCTGTTTAGGTGTCTCCTTGTTTTGCACCTTTGTTAGAAATCAATGGAACTTAAGCTAATATTCGTTTGTTTTCTTTTTCCAGAGACATGGAAAGGCAGAAAGAAATTGCAATGTTGGAAGCCCAGTGTTACCGTTTTATTGAAGTGCTTGGTGAACAAAGAGCAGCCACCCGGGAAAATGTCCAGCGTAAACAGGCACGAACTGGTGAGGAAAGAGAAGAATCAGATGATGAGAATTATGATGAAGAAGATTCTGATGACGATGATGAAGACATTCCTTACAACCCCAAAAATCTGCCACTTGGGTGGGATGGAAAGGTGAGTTACCAATAAATGATTAGTCTTTTCAGGTTTTTGTATTGCAGTCTTCTTTTACTTAACCTTATGTCTCAGCTAGTGGGGAGATTGCATGAAAATAAGTGAATGTAAAAAAAGAAAATAAGAAAAAAAAACTGAGTGTATAATATCTAAGGCAATTGTGGTAGGGAACTTATGGAAGAAAACAGTCAAACTCTTAAAAATTAGACTTGTACAGTGCCATAAGGTCATAACCCAAAGTTGGAAAGATGAAGGAGCATATTACTTTCTTTGGGATGAGATCAATATGTTAGTGAACCTTATTGGAGAGTGCATAGGCATGTTGCTTATATGAGTTGAATTAAAGGCTGCATTAACTAGGCAAATAAAAAGTTCAATACTATATGAGCCACTATGCTCACTAAAAAAGAAATTACAGGACAAGAAACCCCCAAAACAGAAAAAATAGTATTTAGTGTGCTGATTATTGCCTTACTATTCTATATGGGACAAGACTTACCCATTTAACTGCAAAGAAATAAAAAAAAAAAAATGCTACTTTTTGCTGGAATCTCTGGCACTAAAATTCATAACTATTGATACACCTCTGAATGGATTACATACCTGATTATGAAAGTTATAAAATGCATTGGCTAAAATATAATGAAAAAAAATCAAGATTAGAATTATAATCCAAACAATTATGTCGCTTCAAAATTTAATGAAAGTTTTATTCATAAAGTTAAGAAAATTCTATAACTTGTTGATGCAAGAAAATCATCTTTCTCTTCATTAAGTGTTTTTTTTTCTAAATTTTTTTCTCTAATTTATTGAGGGTAAAATTATTTTTTACCCATGTTCTGAGTTTATATTGCATAATTTTAAAAGTTCATAGTACATATCTTTTGAATTGCACACTATAAATTCAAATGTTGCTTTGACTTGGGAATCCATGAATTTATTTTGCATTCCAACATTTCTGAAATCTACAAGAATCTATCTGTTATCCTCTTGGAAGTTTTTCTATTCATTTTTGTTAATAACGATTCTCTTAACGTAATTGCTTTATGATATTCTCATTAATATATGAAACTCTTTCAGCCAATCCCTTACTGGCTCTACAGACTTCATGGCCTCAATATCAGCTACACTTGTGAGATTTGTGGGAATTTCACTTACAGAGGACCCAAAGCTTTTCAGAGACATTTTGCTGTGAGTACACTTCATTACTTTTTGGATGTGTGTGTGTTTCTTTGCCTTGTTAAATTCTGTTTTTAATATTTATTGCATTATAGCAGAAACATTATTCTTATAAAATTATGAGAAGAAAATACAACTCTGGTTTAGAAAGAAAACTTGTTAATTTGTATGTCAAAAATATATTAGAACAGTTTTTAAGCATTCAATAAATACAGCAAAAACTGAATTTCAGAATAGGACACAAAGAAAATGATATTTGATGAATGAGAAACTTGGATAAATTTTCAGATACTGGTTTAGCTGAGATTGTTTAAATTAGGACAAAATTCCCTGATGATTACTATTTGTTTAAACTGTGAAGTATGGGAGAAGGAGGAGGTGAAAAGTTCTGTTTGACCAATAAACCTTTCCAAAAGAAAAAGAATTTTGTTTAGTCACTTGGTCAGAAGTGGATAGGGGTTAGAAAAATATGTATGTATTTTCAGCCCAAAATGTTTCTCTCATGTTAATCTTAATATATGCAATATAACAAACCTACTAGAGAATGATCCATGGTTCCATTTTTTGCAGTTTCACTTATCTGTGACCAATTCTCAAAATAAACAATTCATGACTTTTAATTAATAATCACTCCAAAGTGCAAGAGTAATGATGCAGAAAAGTGTTTCCTTTAAGTAAAAATGGTGAAAATTCTTCATAAATAAAGAAATTAAAAAACCTACTGTAGTTGCCATGATTGGCAATAAGTGGCATAGCGCTTAGAGATAAGGGTTGGGGGTGATTAGTGAAATGAAATTTTTTTTTTTTCTAAAGTTTCATTTTTTCAGCTTAATGCATCTGGTTCTTAATAATCATTTAATTGTTAAACTCAATTCTCATAATAAGACTTGATTTTCTGTATTGAATTAAAGAACCTGTTTTTTTTTTCAAAAGAAAAGGAGGAGTTGTCTGGTACAAAGCCGCAGTAGCAGGGTAACCAGTTAGTATCAAACATGTTTCATTTGCACTGATCCCTGAGGTTAACTTGCTAACCATTTGTCTATGGTAGGCATCCAAAAGTCACATTGTCTATAATAGAATTGATTGTGGGTATTAAATGCTAGAAGAAAAAGAAAACTGTTGTGAAATATTAATTGCCTTTGCTGCTGAAAATATGCAACATTTTACATGAAAAACTCTTAAAAGGTTTTCTTTTCTATTTAGACAATGTCACTGCCTTTATAAAACCACATTGATACATGTATTTTTAATATTTTTTTTTTTCTTCTAAATATTTAACAGGAATGGAGACATGCTCATGGTATGAGATGCTTGGGAATCCCTAACACTGCTCATTTTGCCAATGTCACACTGATTGAGGATGCTTTGGCATGTAAGTATTTTTATTATTTATGCACAAGTTTTTTTATGAATTCCTTTAAATTTTGATGTAAACTTTTAAATAGAAAAACGACAACATGATTAATATAAAAAGAGCTGACAAAATTGATTCCCAGAAAGTGTCCTGTAGAAGCAATGTCAAAAAATGGTCATGAGCTTAAGACATTTCATATTGAGATTAAAAAGGGTTACAAAATAATTCAAGCAGAAGCTCTTCCCATTTAGATTAGTTAGTTCTGCTTTATTTCACGAAACCAACAATGACTAATAGTGTCTTGAGATATGACCAATGCGGTTTTTGGTAATTATTTTTTTATTAAATCAGTTCTCCCCAAGAAAGGCAATAAGTCACTAGCATGTAAAGTGTTACTGAGTGAAAGAAACAGGAGGACAATATAAAAACAGGATTCAAGGAGACAAGATAATGATTGACATTACATTTAAATATTTGAAGGTTGAAATTGATCACAAAGCAGGAAGACTATGTAAAAATCAGGCGTGGCTGACCACATATGGAGAGAGAAGGAAGATCACTGCCCTCTGTGGGATCAGGTTGAAATTATAGACAAAGAACACCATTGGAAAATTTGTAGACTTAAGGAATCAGCACATATGCTAGGCCACAAAAATCTCCTGAGCCAAGCATAGAAATGAATACAATATGGGAACCAGTAATAAGGAGTGCCAGAGAAAAGCGATAACAACAAAAATTGCAATATGAGCTCTGGTAAAAAAATGTTGCTGAAGACATTAGGTTTATAATATCCAGAAATTCATACACAGATGTCCTCAAGGACACATGGCACAGTGGATAAAGGTGTTAGATCCAGTGACAGGATAGGTGTTAGATCCACTGCCTTAGCTGGATATTGAACTCACACAAAGAGTGTGAGTTCAATACCCAGTTAAGGCAGTGGAGAACTTTCGGAGGGAAATTAGCAAGAGATTGTTGCAGACTGGCGAATGTGTATTAGGTATGAGAAGGTTATTTTATCGATTGGGTCAGTGATGTTGGTGTTCTTAAACATTTGTCCACAATAAATTTAAAAACATGAATATCGAAGACAGATCATTCAAGATAAATCAAAGCGAAAACAACGCAGTTAAAGATTTATATATATATATATATATATATATATATATATATATATATATATATATATATATAAAATATACACAATTGAATCAAAGGTTGTTGAATAAGTGTGAATGGTTGAGTTGAATTATGTAGAATATTTATGTCAAGTTTTAATGTGTATGGAGCTGTTATTAAGATTTGTGACTAAGTGAATGTTCGCGTAGAAAAAGTCTTTTGTGGCAGTTCAGTTAATAGTGCGTATGCGTGTGTTTGAATTGTTGTCCAAAACTGGTATGAGTTGTGTATCTTTAGTTGTTTTGATGTTTGATTGAATGTTTACGAATACTTGTTAATAGTGAGTTATTATCACTTTTTAGCATTGTAAGAAATTGTTCCTGGTAGAGCGAAATGCTGCATGTGTTGAGTCAGAGAAAGTTTGTGCGGCAAAAATGTAGCTGGTTACGATTTTGACTGTCGTGGATTAGTTTGGCATTTCTCCAGGATGAAATTCTGAATTGATTTGGACGCTTCTATTTATTTAGTTCTGGACACTGGAATTGGCTCAAAACGGTTATGCGCGAAAAGACATTTTCACATGAATTTGCTACAGTTTTAGAGGCTTGAGCCAATGAAAAGTCTAGTTCACTGGAACTAGGGTGTTGATTGGTTAATAGGTAATTTTGTGGTAGAGTGTATTATTCCGGAGGGGTGAAAAGGTATGTATGGATTATTCCATCAAGATAACTGATATCCATTAAACATGGCACGTGAAACTAGAACAGTCTACCCCAGTGAACGAAATAAAGAGTTCAGTTTGACATTCCAACCATCAGAAGAAGGCTGAAACGTAATAAATACGGTGACAAAGATGAGGACAATAGTCTGAATAAGGTAAATAATGTACATAATACCTCATCTCAGAAATATAGACAAACCAATTCAGTTTTCATGTGTCATATGTTAAGCCTACTGGGAGCATTAGACCCCTTAGCCTTCATTATGGTATGCGAATAGAAGACAGAAAACACTAATGTAACACCTACATCATGACATCATGTTGACAGTTTCTTCTTTTTGAGTACCTACTGTTCTTGCTCAGTATGGGATTGACTTAGTGCAACGTCTTTATCTACTTTAAAACATTTCTCGCACAGGCACTGCTTGATAGTGTAAAGTCACAGTGTATTCTTACATTGATATCTTGACAAGGAGGTGGCAGCCATCATATATGCACGTTTCTGTATATTTAATCTGCAGCCTTTTTTATTAATACAAGTTTGATTAAAGCTCAGGCAAGGTATGTTTTATTTTATTAGTTCTTTTCAAGCAAACAAATATCTGCTTTCAGTGTATGTAAGTTTTGTCTAAATATTTGGGGTTTAGAACTTTTGACCATCCTTCGGGCCATTCTCAAGAGCCAGAAATGACAATAGCAAATTATAAACTTCTGAAATACTTTAAATTTATGCTGAATTTGCAGCTTGTCCATTATGATCATGGAATGCAGTGATATAGAAACAAAATTCTTCACTAGAAGTGTGTATGTATATATATATATATATATATATATTAATGTTTGTTAGCTGTTTATTTACAATCCAAATCCCCAAACTGGAGCTCTTTTTTTTTTTTTTTTTTAAACTGTAAATTAATAAAAGTACATTAATGTTGTATAGTATATATGTATTGTTTATCAGTATTTGAAACTGATAGTGCTACTGTAGTCCATGTTCATTAATGTGAATAAAAATGGCACATTGACCATTTCAATAGGGTGACGTAGTTGGTGTCTAAAATAGGAATTTGAATCTTAATAAAGGACACAATTTTCTAAAGAGCAAAAGAAATTTTCAAATGACATTAATATATTTTTTGACTTTTGAGGGCAAGAATCATTAATGAGAATATTAGATGTTAATTTTTTTTGTAATAGATTAGTAATCACGTATTTTTCATGTTCAATTGTATAATGCTCTTGATAGTTCTTTCAAGTTAATTTGATGTTTATCAGCAGTATAATTAGTGAACATCTTAGTTAATATTTCTTCAGTATTTAGTTGTTTTTAAGTGTATGGAAAGTGAAGATAAGGTGAGTATGATATCAAGTTTTTAAGATTTTAAATAGCTTGTAAGATAACTCATTAAAAAAAAACATTTTTACATTCTCATTTTTACAATATTACACACACTCTCTTTCTCAATAAAAAAATTGTTTTCAATTCTTCAGTTTTATCAGTTTGGAATTACTCTTATGCTGATATTTTTGTGAATAATTTTTGAGCAGAGATTACTATGAATTAATAAAATTAATTAAAATGAACTTGGGACAAGTATGTGTCTTTTTCTTAGGCAAGAACCTAAACATTAGTGAATTAAATGCTTCTTTAATAAAATGTAGCTCACTGGAAAAATGTTATAATTTAATATTATTAATTGCTTTAGCTTATATCAAATAACATGCTCAATTGTATTTTAGGTTTTCCTGTAAAATATTTAAATTTCCTCTCTTTTGATAGTGTGGCAGAAATTGAAGATGAATAAAGAAACTGAAAGATGGAAGCCAGACACAGAGGTAACCCAAATTTTTTTTTTTTTTTTAATAGAAAATATACACAATGAAAAGTTCTCTGCCCAACCATCTCTCTAAAATTTTTATTAATCTCAGTTGGACTGAGAACTTTTTAGGATATCACCCCTCACCCATGTTTCTTTATATTCTTTAGACATGCAAGATATTGGTGAAATTAAATAATTGACTTTTTCTTGCATAAAAAATGATAAAAGAACATTCTTTTTCCAGTGTTGTATTTTTCACTGTTTTGAGCTGACAATTTTTGAAAGTGTTTGACATGTTACTATATAGGATATCTTTCATGTTTTTCAGGAGGAGTTTGAAGATTCATCTGGTAATGTTGTGGCCAAGAAGGTGTATGACGATCTCAAGAGGCAAGGTCTTTTATAAGACAGTTATTCATTCAACAAATCAATCACACAATTCATTTTTCAATAAAACATTTATCTGAACCTACAGCATGAATTGTAGTCTATGATTTTACCAATGTTAGAAAAGTACCTTGGTATGTAATCATTAATTTTCTTAAAAACAGGAACTACAGCAGAGGATTTCCAATGGAAAGCAAGAAACATATAAGGCATCTATTGTATAGCTTATAGAGAACAGGAACCAGTTTCTGAGCATATTTCATTTGTGGAGATCAGAAAAAGTTAGCAGCTAAACAGGCAGGTGTGTAGCAAGGAGAGCAATATAGTTTCTGTGTAGCAAGGAGAGCAATATAGTTTCTGTGTAGCAAGGAGAGCAATATAGTTTCATCTAGTATTTACGTGATGGCACCCAGATTTGATCTAAAAAGAAACCTCTGGTACAATTAAGATTTCATTCTTGGAGGCATTGAAAACAAAAAAAAATCATGAAATGAATTTCAATCAGTATGCTGGTAACATGTTTTGTGAATAGGAGGTTCAAGTCTGATAAATGAGCCAAAAGAAATATCTATAGACATGGTAGCAATGATCTAAATTGCCAAGAGGGCTCAGTTATGTTTGATATCAGCCAGGAGAGTAGGTAAGGAACAATCCTTTTTCTATGAAATATTCCCAAATTTCAACAATGCCTTACCTTTGGATTTTGCAAGTTGTCAGATTTTTTTTTTTAAATCCTTTTTCTTTGAAACATTTTACTGCTATGATTTTTTCCCCCCCCCAAAAAAAAATCCTATAAAATATTAGCTCTGTGCTATTTTTTCAGGAATTAGTATTTCTTTTTAGCAAAAATCAATTCATCATATATTTGTAACTTTAGTTTCTAGATGAAATTTTTTGAGTTTTTTTTGGTCTTCAAAGGAAAATGGTTCTATTTTAATGGCTATCTTTTTCTTCCAAGATTTGTTTCAACACTTGAAATAAACAATCTTTCACTGTTCACCATCTTATGTAAAAAAACAAAGAGGACCCTCTCTCTAAAAAATAAATTTTCCTTCTAGCAAGTTGTACACCAAAAAAAAAAAAAAAAAAAAAAAAAAAAAAGGCCAGAGATTGGCTTGAATCTTGTGCTAACATCATAAGCAATACAAATACTTTAATGATAATGACCTTTCTTACAATTTCTCTTGATCAATCTCTTTAAATAACTGTTACATAGAATCGTTAATTAAAGTGCAGGTCAAATTTTGTTTCTTTATCAGTTTTTTTTTTTCTTTTAAGTAAAATGTGAGTTAAAATTCTTTGTTTTTTAAAGCATCAATATAAATAAATTCCATCAAGTAATGATATATTCAAAGAGCAGAGGGATTAAATAAAGCGTTGCTCCTGTGGTTTCTTGTCAAAGTGGATGATTTATCACTTTATCCAGGTAAACAAAGCTTCATAAAACAGAAGACATTAGTTGAATGATGAGAGATAGAGAGCAGACCTACCTGGCTGTCAAATAAAATATTACAAAATCTGTTATAAGAGAAAGTTTGTTCACCTAGTTGAACTCACAGTTCTACATGTAATCATCATCGATTCAACTCAAATGTAGAAAGAGGAATGACACACAGACAAAATTGGTGGCGAAATGCAGACATAGTACGATAGGCTAAACATCATCCTGTTGAGGTTGGATGCACCTGTCGATAGTATTCATTAGAATCAAGCAGATAAAAAAGAAAGTATTCACAAACCTAAAGAATATACAAGCAGCAACTGGGAAAGCAATTTATTGGATCTGGCTAAAAAAAAAAAAAAAAAAAATGAAAGTTAGCTGGAGAAATGATTCCTGAGCTGACAAACAGTAAACCACTTAAACTAGGTGGCTGCTGCAGACCCCAAAACTGAGCATATTCTCTCCTGGTACATTTGGTTGGTATCACTTGTAGCAAGTTGTTCAATTCCTTAAGTATCAAGCATGTTTAATCTTGTTCATCATCAGGTCTTTACTTGTAGACAAAGACTTTAAAAATCATGGTTTTAATAATATCAGAAAAGTGTGGCAAACTAAAGAAATCTATTTAATCTTAATGTATTTAAATGTCAACAACAAACTTAGAAATGAGGTCTTTGTATTTGATTCTAAATATCAATTTATTGTAACTTTCATTATTTATTTCAAAAATTTGGGACTGAGAAATTGCATTACATTGAAGATTTAAAGAAAGAGAAAAAAAAAAAAAAAAAAAAAAAAAGAAAGATGTAGAATATTTTATTGGTTTACAAAAGTGAGTCCAATAGTACAAAAACAGGAAACATTAACATAAAAGCATTTTGTGCTAGGAAAAGTTAAACTTAAAGGAGAGTGGGAGGGAAGGACTCAATTTGACTGGTAGCCCCCCGTACCAACATCAGATCAATTGAAATTTATTCCCCCCTTCTTTTTATGGCAGTTATAGTATTAAAAACAAGGAATAGTAGAAAAGAATATAAAATTAACTTTGACCTCTTGAAAGAAAGAAAGAAATTCTTTTACACTACTGTTCTTAATGCAATAGATTATATTTAATTCTGAAATATTACATTTTTAATTAAAGTTTTTCTTTTTAACTGTTTGGTAAGAGTGTTATAGAAACAATTTAATATTACATACCATATAATGTAAAACCCTCTAGAAAAGTAGCTGTGTTTTACTTTATAATAAACAGTACCTGTCTAATTACATTTGATAAGCGGGAGTTTTCTAAAGAAAATAGACAAATTGATTGATGTTTCAAATAGGCAGATAAATTTGAAATAATGTGTAGAAAAATAGAACTATTTATAAAAATTTATATCTTCCTTTCTGTAACTTTTAGCAGTTTGCTTTTTCTAAGTCTGTAGAAACCAGAGAAAAATTAAACAAAACGGCTATCTATAATTAACAAAAAAAAAAAAAAAAAAAAAAATGGAATTTAATCAGAACAATATTCATGAGCTAAAATGTGAAGAAAACTTAAGACTATGTAGGCATCAATTGTTTCATTCATCTTGAAAGGGTGTTAGGTAAACATTAACCATGTGTAGTTTCACAAGCAGACAATATGAAATTAGCCAAAATGGATTCACAAAATCTCTAGATTAAATTAATATTTTGTAAATGTTTGTGCATTGAAATCTTATCAAATTTTGTGCTTCTAATTGTGGTTAATACAAACTTAACCCAGACTATCATCATAATATCTCAGTCTTTTTCTTTATTTAGAAAATTGATAATGTAGATGACAAGAGATTCTGTTTTTTGTATTATTTTATGCTGTTCACATGTCAATTTACCCAAGATTTCTAATGATGGCAATGAAACTTCTTGCCAAAATGGCAGTTTCTTTTTTTCAAATCATACGCTTTGTTAATTTCAAATACTTATAGGGAGTTTGGGGGGGGGGATTTCCATTTCTTTTGAGTTGCAATACCTTGTCATCTGCTGCAAATCCTTTTCTTCCACATTAACAACTTTGACTGTCAATTTCAGTCATCATAATTTTCACTGAGGTTAGCTAGTTCGTTGAGAGTTTCTTTAAACTCATCCTCTTCCAAACCTGTTGAAAGGAACCGGTGGAATCTTTTGATGTTAATTTTCTTTGCTTCTTCATATAATTCCCCTACCATTTTACCAGATTCCTTTGTACTCTGAATGCAGGACATTACAGGAATGGAGTTAACACCTTGAAATAGAAAAGATGGAAAGAAAAAGGCCAAAGATATAATTCATTAGTAGAATAAATAAACAAAAAAAACAAAAAAAACTAGACACCAAGATTGTTTATAGATACTGGAAAATATGGCGCTGCTGTATTTGCTCACCACTATGATAAAAGACTTGTCACCTCAGGCTTGATTTGTGATCTCCAAAGAGCAATTGGTAAAGTATTTGGAACATTTGCTGGCAGTGATCAACAGCCTGTTGGATCTGACTTTTCAAGTTAAGGTAGTTTAGGTTCTTCATTAATTCAAGCTCAGAAATCTTATGGTGATGAAAAGAACATTCAAACACTTATCTTAACCACCAGAAGACCAAAGTTCATGTCTCTGGTAAGGGGTGGGGGGAACCTAAAAATGGAATAAAAACAAAACATTGCTTACCTTGCATAGGTGTCCTCAGCATTGTTGAGACAAGTCCACCAGAGTTAATATTGGGAGTGAAGATATGGGGATAGGGTGTTACAACTTTGCATGGAGCTGTGACTACACAACCAGCACTGTTAAATGCAACAAAAGTACAATCTTATTGTTACAGTTGTTTGAAATATTTTAGAATTAGTAAGAAATTATGTTTTATTTCATTTGTATTTATTATTTTATTCATACAAAAATGTTATAGTTAAGATTAGGTTATTTTTATTTCTTTATTATTTTTGACATGTTTAAAAGTGAAATAGAATCAAGGAATGAACCATTAAACAAACATTCTATAATGATTGGGTAACAGCATTGATTATTTTCTTTTCTGTTTCACTTCATGAATATATATTAGCATGTGTGTGTTTTCTGGTAAATAGTCACCATTTTGAAATATACTTACTAAAAGAACAAAGATGAAAAATGAAGACTATTGGTTTATTTTAATACAAATGCCTGTACTTACTTGAGAGTGCCTGGAAATAATTCTGTTACAAACAATTCAAGAACATCAGAGACACTTGAACAATGGCTCAGCACTTGGGCAAACTCTGGTTTAATGTTAGACCTGCATGAAAAACAAATTTAAAAATGAATTTCTTGTAGCAGAAACAACATGTAATTTATCTTGAATGAAAAATTATCTGCTTTTGGTATATCAGTAAAATAAATGATAGTCTTAAAAGAGTTATGGGCATGTAAAAAAAACAAACAAAAAAAAACAAACAAAAAGAAACAAAACAAAAAAAAAAAAAAATGACAAGACTGATATTGAGTAACTGAATACTGAGTGTAGAAAAAAAAATGGGCACATACGCTATACACAAAAGTTGTAAGTGGGTGCTACGTCAACTAAAACAAAAAATATTTTCATGCATTTAATGCTAACAGTATATATATATATATATATATATATATATATATATATATAACAAACACACACACACACACAGTAGCGGCCATAATATAAGGAACAGAAACAACAAAGGCATAAATATGTGTATTATTTAAAAAGTAATGCATGATTAGCAATGAAATTTTTACCGAGTAAAGATTAGGGGGTAATGCATAAATATATAAAGTTACAAAAATTTAGATAATAGTTTTTTCTTTAAATAAAGATTAAATGTGATATAGTGGAACACACCTATTCTATAATTAATAGACTCTCCCACCTATAATAAGTAATATGCAGTATTATTAAATGATTTAAATTCAACAGAAGCACAGCTAGAGGCTAGACAAATAGAACCACAAGAAGAACCTACAGAAACTGTGACTCCATCCTCAAGAAGCTCAAAGCGGAAGGTTGTTTCTGAGCAGATTGGCAATATGATGTACTTGGTGAAAGGCGAAAAATTCACGTGCAGTAACCAGATCAGATGATGTTTTTCACACGCACATTATATATATATATATATATATAAATAAATAAATATATATAAATATATATAAATATAATATATAATAAATATATATAAATAAATAAATATATATATATATATATATAAATAAATATATATAAATAAATAAATATAAATATATATATATATATATAAAATAAATATATATATATATAAATATATAATATAAATATAATATATAAATATATATAAATATAAATAAATATATATATATATATAAAAATTATATATATATATATATATATATATATATATATATAAATATATATATATATAAATAATAATAATATATATATATATATAAATATATATAAATAAATATATATA